GGGGACCAATAAAGATTTTCGAGTGCTTGGTCATCGCATCATGGGTCCCAGAGTGCTTAAGAGTTATAAGGTTAAGATAAAAGATGATAAGATTAATAACTGAATAATAAGGCTGCAGTTTGAGTGGCTAAAGAGGGGCCTATTCTGATGTGTGGCTATGAAAGGTAATGGAAATCCATTCTGAGTGCTCTGGAGGAATTCTATAAGGCCTACATTGTGGGTGGCTCTCATGTATGTGACAGTTTGGTGAATAACTAAAATGATAACACAAACAAAACCAAACTAGAGCTTCAAACTTCAGCTAAACTGTCCAATGATCTCTTTTGGAACTACCAGGTAGGTATATTTGGTAGCACCAAAACAACTTCATCCCAGTCAATAATGACTGATACAGCAACAAAGTAGTAAAACATCAAATTAAGGTTTTATCAGCTGTGTTCCAGTTACTCTGACAGTATCCCAAAACAGTGAGGTATATGTATGTTTGTGTGTCTGTCTCAGCTGGAAGAGGAGCTGCTGGGTCTGCAGAAGAAGCTGAAGGGAGTGGAGGACGAGCTGGACAAATACTCTGAGTCACTGAAGGATGCGCAGGAGAAGCTGGAGCAGGCTGAGAAGAAGGCCACAGACGTGAGTGACACAGAGTCAAACATACAGACACACTTATGGTCTGAATCACGTCTAGTTAAACTCAGAATACTGGAAAACGTCAGCTGTTTCAGTATGTTCATTACAGTCATCCTGTCCCTTCATTTTGTATTGTTTTCCCTGTAGCTACTGAATAATAACCCTTAGAATGTAGAAATACAAACAAGCTAAATGTGGGGCCAAAACTGCACTCCTTTTCTCTTAAACTCCTTTTTTAACCTCATTTTAAACGTATTCTTGGCTCAGAGTAGGCTTGTGAGACCACTGTGATTCTCTTTACTCTTTTGCCTTGTGTTGTTTCAAGCTTCACTTAAACAACATCTGAAAAAAATACCATATAAGAACTGATTTTTTAAAAGGCCCTTATCATAGAAAACTGCATTTTTCTCACATATAATAAGTTTGATGTATTATGTAAAGTGTTTCAAAATGTATGGTTCACTCCCCAGTGCCCAAAACTAAGCTGCGAAAGCATCCTGTTTTCTTTGTTTTTGTGATGTCACAAAAATCAACACATTTAAAGGCATACAACTATTCATCTTACTGCAGTTAAGGTCCACCCATTTACACTACAGTTGAAATGTTTCACCTTGAAATGCCTTTAAAAGAGGCACAATGCAGGGCAGCTAATCAGAACAGAGTTCATTTACATATATCAGTTTTAAAAGCAAATAAAAACAAAAACAGCCAGTTTGATTCTATGGAATAAAGACAAGCTGGAAAATGAACATGTAAAATGAATTAGGACTGTTTTGGTAAAAGCACACGAATGACATAAGTAGCTGAAGTGAAAATACAAGAAAAATTTAGGATATAGGCCCTTTAAGACCAGAAAACTAATATAGCATATTAAAATAAAAATAGTGGCTACAATCATAATGTAAACATCTTTCAACTGTCGTCACACTATATAAACACATAAACTGCTAAATATACCCGACCATAAATTACCACCCCATTCTCTGACATTTTCTCTGTCACCTCCATGTGGTGGCAGAAAGTACTGCACGCATCCACAGAAGTCTGTGCCTGTCAGTCACTCTGACTTGGGCCTGTCCTGCTCTCCTTACCACACCATTAATCCCTGCCAGGAACGACTGAGCAGCAATCTTACTGTTGACAGCTGCACTGGAGAAAGTGCCAACCACTCCCCACTATCACATTCTGTAAACACTTCATAAAGCCTGTCACCACCTCAGGCTCAGCCGCATGTGGTGTAATCATTCCGACAAGATAGCAAAAGTATGGGATGTGGGATTTCTTATATTTTTATAACTGTCATCATGCTCTTGTCTGAACAGGATTGCTTACAGTGAGAATGAGGTAACCTTGGCAGGAAGGATTACACTGGGCTAGATTTTTAGTGTCCTTTTTAGTGTCCTTTGCAGTACACATTTAATAAACATTCAAAAAGACATAATGGTCCTAGGATGGGAGACATCTTTAACACTCTATCAGTGACTGATATGCCATAAAACCAGGATTGCCATCCTTAAATGTGACTGGCCAATGTGGACAAAATTTTAATAATATCCCTAAAATTTAATAACATCTCTGGTCAAATTACATGTTTTATATGTTTTCTAAACATCCTCTACAGACAACACACTACTGCACACTGTTTATTTGCTGAATTAAACATTTTGGAAAAGAAACATAAAATGTGGCCTGTGCAAAAGTTATGGCACATTTTATATGCTTTTTTCACTATGTTAAACCCAGCAGATAAATAGAAACTGTGCACTAGAATTTGTTGAAAAAATGCCAAACTCCACAACTTTATAGGTTTCAAGACTTTTGTATGAAGCTGGATGAAATTACCCTCCAGAATGCCACAGTTTTGAAAAGTGGTGAATTTACAGATACAGATATACAGTGATCCGTTTTAGAAATGGTTTGAGGGTAAATGAGTTGACCTCATGCTGAAATCTAAACAGTCTGTCAGCATCACCTCCCTTTCCTGCTAATGTTCCATGATAACAGCCTTTCCACTGCAGTTCTCGCCCAATTTGTAATCCTCACTGTCTGACCCCTCAGAATTATTCTTGATAAAACAAAGCCTTTCCTGCTATTAAAGCCAACAGATGATACAAAGCAGTCAATCCAGTGCTTATCAAGCAATAATGCAAAGCCTCCCTTTCACGCATTTACAGCTTAGGACCTGACAGCAGATTTATTCATTACAAATGAATAAAATGATGAGAGAACACACATTACAGTGTGATGTGATAATGTGTGATGATCACTTTTTTATGGTTAAAGCACCTAGACATTGAAGTGGCAAGACTTGTGGCCAGCTATTTAATTAAGAATAAGAAGAAGTCACTATTGGAACAAAAAGTGTTTCTACTTTTAGCATTTTTATTTTTATGTAGATTAAACATAGCAGCTACCAGTGTCCAAAATTTCATGATGAACAAACCAATAGAAATGGGCTGAAATTACTTGGCTGCATTTAAACACAAACTTACAATGACATACCCAACTATTCCTAAATGCACTCTTCACCCCTCAGTATATATAGTCTTCACATAAACAATACATACCATATGTATAGTAGAAGAAATAATAATGACATATTTCAAACTTTTAAGGTCACGAGCAGCTGAAAGACAGCAGTGCAGAAAGACAGAACTACATACCACAGAGGAAGAAAAAATCCCTCGTAATATGTGGGATTGTTTGAGTGTGTGGCTGAGAGTGATGGATATCCCCCATGAGCCTTTGTATTATTATTATGTGACCAAAGAAGGAAAAGAATCAAAAGAATGCAGCCATTTGTTTACAGTGAACTGAAGTAATGCTTTCCAGCTCTAGTGTGCCTTTTCCAGACAGCAGTGTGAAAGAGCAAAGGCATGTGTGAATCACTTTAAATGCTTCTCTAAGACATAATACTTACATTTCGAAAGGTCCAGCAGCAGCGCTTTTGACTGACTCACTGCAACATGTAGGAAAGCTTTCAGCACACTATACTAGATAACTACAAGCCGTAATCTAAAAAAGTTAGGACAGTTGATCTTGATTTAAATGAAAACAGAGGGCAACAACTTTATTGTTTTCTTCAAGATCAACTTTTTTTAGTAAAAATATGCTCATTATGAAATTGATGCCTGCAGCATGTTCTAAAAAGTTGTGATGTGGGCAATTTAAGATCTAAAATGTTGTGAAATGTTCAGGAAACATCTTAAATAGGTGATACGCATGGGTATAAAGAAGCATCCAGAAAAGGCAGAGTCCTTTGAGCAAGGATGGCTCAAGTCTTGCCACTTTGCCAAAGGAACTGGTGAGTAGTTTTAAAACAATGTTCCTCAGCGGGCGGTTGCAAGCCTTTTAGGTATTCAGAGAATCTGAAGAAAACTGTTCATAAAAAGGCAAGGGCAAAAATCGCATGACCTTCAAGACCTTCAGATGGTACTGCATTAAAAACCAACATGCTTCTGTGGTGGTTATCACCACATGGGCTCAGGAATATTTTGGCAAATCATTGTCAATAAACATCATTCATCTCTGCATCCACAAGTGCAAGATGAAACTGTACTATGCACAGTAAAAGCTGTGAACAGTGTTCAGAAACACCCCCGACTTCTCTGGGCTCCCGTTTATCTGAACTGGACTAATGCACAATAGAAATGAATTGCAGTCCAAAGAAGATTCTCCGATTGTAGGCCAAAAAAAAAGTACCAACCAGACTGTTAACAGCGTAAAATGAAAGAACCAGGGTCTCTCATGGTATGTGGGGTGTATTAGTGCCCATGGCATGGGTAAGGGCATTAAATGAAGCACATGAATCTTGTTTCACCTCCAAAAAAAGTACTGCTATTTAAATTAGATGCTCTGGAGCAGCCACACATGAGCTTGAGGTCACCATGCCCAATGCCAGGTGCCAACCAGTGGGGTATGAAGCACTCCAGCTTCGGAGCAGCAGTGGAACTGCCTTCTTTGGAGTGATGGAGCACCATCCAGTTCCTTTGGGATAAGCTGGAGTGGCGCTTGTGATGCAGCATCAGTACCTTACCTGACGAATGCGCTTGTGGTTGCAATCAAATCCTCACCTCAGTGTTCCAGCATCTACTGTAGTAAAGCCTTCCCAGAAGAGTAGAGCCTGTTACTGCAGCAAACAGAGGACGAACTCCTTAAATACTCATGATTTCAGAAGGAATGGATCAGCAGATGTGTACAGATTAAGAGTACATAAAGTAGGTAGGATCTGTTAATGAATTATTCCCAGTTTTGCAATACAAAGTACTACATGGAGTTTAGACACTGCTAAACTGGGCCATTTCTTTAAAACGTGAGTGGCCTGTGACTCCTGACGTCACGGCAGATAAGAAGGGGGCGGAGTCACGGGGCCGCCGTGGAGGGCAACTTTTCTACAGGACAGTTTGTGTGAGGAGAGCAACGACGAGACTGACCTCTGAAGACAGCAGTAAAGGGTATGGTTTTAAATCTCAGGTGTGCGCCGATCGTTAGGTTTGCATCAGGCGTTTGGTTCCTTGCTGTGCACTCTGAGGTGTCTCACAGTCTCCCAAGAGCTCAGAGCCAAAGAGCAAGCGGCTTGTGATTGTACTCGGCTGTTTCGCAATGGCTGGAATAACGTCCATCGAAGCTGTGAAGAGGAAAATTCAGTCGCTGCAGCTGCAGGCCGACGAGGCCGAGGACCGCGCAGAGGCACTCCAGAGGGAGGTGGACGCGGAAAGACACGCCAGGGAACGGGTGAGAAACGAGAGAAATGGAGGGAGGGAGACGAGGCTGGAGTTAGACTCACTGCTCTCCAGCTCCTTGTTGGAATTTTCCGTTCCACCTTAAATAGTGTAGCAGTTTCATTCTGGCGCCTGAAGCCAGAATGTAACTGCAGCACCATTTAAGGTGGAACGGAAAATTCGAAAAAGAAGCTGACTTTAGCCTCGTGGAGAGGCAGAGAGAGAAAAGAAGAAGCCTGGTGGAGCTCCACTGCTGCACCAACTTCGTTTTTGACGGTGTCCTGTAGTTTTTCCACAGACTGGTGTACTTCTGTAGATGCTGGTTTCAGGACGGAGCTGTTGGCTGGTGTAGGTCGAGTTACCAGGTTGCTATAGTGATTTAACCGCAGGCTGGATACGCTCTGATATCGAACTGCTCGATTGTTTAACCCGTTCATTTACATATGTGACGCTGTAAGCGGTTAAGTTTTCTCTGAGCTTTCCCCATCACAAATCTGAAGGGTTTTTTAGCTAATCAAGCTATATGGCTAAAAAGTGATTTATTTCTTAAATTATAACATTAATTGTACACACTTAATATGATGGTTCTTCATGCTTAAAATGGCTGTTTGCATAGTGAAATGGTTCTTGAGATTGATGGAGAACGTGCTCTTTGAAAATGGTGCTATTTTGCACTAAAAAGGGTTCTTGATATATCATGCCAATACTAGAAATCCGTTTTTGGTGCTTTGTAGAACTATTTTAAAAAAGGTTTTATATAGAACCATATACAACACTTTCTCCATCAATCTGAAGAACCACTTAATCATGCAAAGAACTATAAATAAAGCCATTGCCTTTACTAAAGAACCCTTGGACCACCATGTTTTTAAATGTTTAGTCTTTTAGTCAAATGGGACCTCCTGATTTTTAGCAAAACAATTAAAACCTGAATTTTTACTGTGAAAAAAATGTCTATTTATTCTAAAAATATATGTATATTTTAATAAAAAAAAACATAAAATACAGTTAGACATTTATGTTAGACCATCAGAGTATTCTGAGGCATTTTTCCTGATCATATTAAATTTCAAAGATGCTCTAAACAAAGGGTTCCAGTAATTCGTGAGCTGGAACAAGGCTGGTGGTCACTGGCTCAGACTTGCTAGCTGATTTTTTGGCTGTTGTTGTTCGGTTACTGCTGATACTGCTCCTTTAATTTGGCTAAAATCATTTAGTTTCTGTTGATAGTTTTCCTCTAATTTGACCAGAGTCATTACGGTAGTGTTGACACTACTCCTTTAATTTAGCCATAGTTATTGGTGTTGATGCTGTTCCTTTAATTTAACCATACTAATTAAGTTAGAGCTGGTACTGTTGCTGTCATTTGATTATATGTAAGTAGAGTAGTTTTATACTGTTCATTTAATTTGACTGTATTTACTGTCTATACTATTCCTTGATGTCAAAATTTGTGCATTAATGAGAAGGTCTGATGTTACCTTTAATAACATTTACCACCCCATGTTGATTACTACGGCACGGTGAGGTGCTGTAAGCTGTTCCATCTGATCCCAGCACATTCTGTTGGCACAGATGCAGTCTGGGTATTTAACATGATCAAATTAGCTCTCTCTTTCACAGCCTAACCATGTGGCTTTTTCGGACTTCTCTTGAAACATGTTTGTGAAATAGACATCACATTTTGGGGTGTTATAAGGCCTAAAAGTGCAAAATAGGCAAAAAGTCAGCTCTTGGTGGGAGCCATAACAGTTTGACCCAGCGAGGAGTGAACTGTTTAGTCAACCTGCTCCCACTTCCTGTGTCCCCTCCCAGTCTTCTTTTCTATTGGCTTGAGTCAACCTGGCCCAGGTCCCAGAGAGCAGAAGGTTAATCATTTCCTGTGCTCTCTTTGCTGCCTCAAAGCAAAAAGACCTTGGGAATGTCCAGACTTCTCATGTATCAGATACCTAGTGGTTGTGTTTTCTGTAGAAAGATCTCAGGAAAATGTTACTCTGTAGGAATGTTAGAGCAGTTGATGCTTTTACAGACTACCTTTTATTTATTAAAGGATTCAGGATTCGGTAAAGGATTGCCAAAGCACAGACGTCTGTCAGTACCTACTGTAGGCCTACAGGTTCAAAGGAATCTTTGAGATTGTAAATTAAAGGCTTAAAATGGACATTTACCGACAGTATGCGGTCAATGAGCAATATCGAAGAACCAGGCATATGAGAGCATTTCCTAATACTGACCTTAATAGTTGGTATAAACTGCAATAAGTTTGGTATTTATAAAATACCAAATACTGGACTTTAAAAGCTTTTATTGTATCATGGCTATGGACAGTTTGTGAATAAAAGGCAAAAGCTCCCAGCATGGCCATGGAAATGTGAAGTTGTGAAGTTGTTCTTTTTCCTAAGTCACTGGTTTTCACCAGTTAGTTAGACAAAGTGGGCGAGTTTAATGTGAGTTACACATTTTAGCCATAGGAAATATTTGGGATGCCGTTTGTGGCATTCCACAGCTACCCTGGTGAATCAGACTGGAATTGGCTCGGGCTGAGAGGTTTTGACAGAATGGGGGTTTGATTAGCTGTCTTTTGCTGGGGAGTGTGGAACACTGGCTCTTTTGTGCTGACGGGACCACTGCCCATGTCTTAGTGGGAAACTTGGAATGCTGGAATTTGAACTCCATGGTCTAATCATCTCAGTCATCGTCATGGATGGATATCATGTATCTGCTGCTTCGTCTGTCCACACCTGGAGCAGAATTTGAAAATGGCAGTTGCCATATTTAATTTAGAACATTTTATTCCTTCTCTCATAAAGTTCATATTTTGGAGGTAGGAGGTTTTGTCCTGGGATGGTATGTTTTATCCAGATTATATTTGTAGAATTAGCAGTCTGAAGCTATTAATGGAAGACACTGGCATGTTAACAGTTAACTGTCTGTTATCAAGGCCTACTTTAGGAGGGCAAACAATGCGTTGCTCTTTAAAGTCATGAATAAAGGTAACATTCCTTTTTTTCCATTTGGTTTACAAGGCAGTTACTGTGTGAGACTCGCAGTGTGTAGTGTCTTTGCTACTTAACACAGCCAGTATAGAACGTGTCTTCAACTCTCTGAGGACACCTTCAAAAGATCTAGCCCTGATTTTGACAATGCAACACAACTCCTGTTTAGTTCTCAGTTCATTTTCATTTAGCCTTCCTTGGGTTATCTTACCTCTCTTTTTCCCCAAAAGACATTGTCCATGGAATTACCCATGAAAGTCCCAAGCACACAGTATCAAAGCTAAACATGCTTTGTTGGTCTGCTGGTGTAATGAGTTGGGGGCTGGTTTAGTTCTCGCTGGGGAGAATGAACTTTACATTTTGACGTTTATCTCAAAAGTAATTAGAAACATCTAAAGAAAAATGCTCCTCAGTGTCCCATGAGAGGATGTCTAGGGGTATATAGCTTCTGAACCACTGGTTCCTAAGATGCATGTCTACCTAATGATTTAATGATTGCTTTGGTAACATCCCAAGGGTCCCACCAGTCAGCCAGTTCAAAATGCAGATAGATCATATATTTTTCATACTACAGTGCCACAGATGAAAACGCAGATAAAACACTGTGCTTGTTCTGTTTTGAATTTCTGCAAAGTGTGATTAACTATGACTATGTTGTCCTTGTAGGCAGAGGCTGAGGTGGCCTCCCTGAACAGACGTATCCAGCTGGTTGAGGAAGAGTTGGACAGAGCCCAGGAGAGGCTGGCCACCGCACTGCAGAAACTCGAGGAAGCAGAAAAAGCTGCAGATGAGAGCGAGAGGTGACTACATACATTGATATTAGTTTTAATGCATGAGCACTAATGAATAAGCAGGTAAGCACACAAGTCAGACTTTAAGTATGTGCCTGTTTTATCTGGACCTTCTCAATTTCGTGTTTTGTAATGTAAATAAAACAAATCCTAATCCAAGTGGTAAATGCGTTGCTTTGCTGTAATAACTAGAGCGAAGCAAAAAATGTACATGGGCATGTAATTTTTTATATATGAAATACATTTCAGATTTGTGTTATAATCCAAATTGCTTTCCCTAAACTGAAATGCATTCAACAAAAACATTTTGCTCATTTTTATACATATTTTGATAAACACACATTCAGCATATATATTTTTCCACATGGTGGGTTATAGACCACTCTACCAAATAAAACTTATCATGAAGTTATCCCTTCTTTGTGTAACAGAGGAATGAAGGTCATAGAAAACAGAGCAACAAAAGATGAGGAGAAGATGGAGCTTCAGGAGATGCAGCTGAAGGAGGCCAAACACATTGCTGAAGAGGCTGACCGCAAATATGAGGAGGTGTGTACCTCAGGGCTCAGTGCTAAGTTTTAATATGATTTACACCTTTTCTCTTCAAGTTCCTACAAATACTTAGGCATATCAGCTCAGTTTTACATGGATGTCAGTTTGACCTGTATGTTGGTATAAATACTACAAAAAGGAAAATAAGTTTCTGAGCAAGTTTGTTCAGGATGATCAGCATTTTCTCACAAATAAATTGTGCATATGTTCAGTGACCTGGGTTTTTTTTACTGCATTGATAAAGTTTTATGAGATCAGAGTCTTTAGTTGATCCTGCCTTTACACGTTTAGGATCCACAGTCATTAATGTGAAGATCTGTTTGCGCTAACCCTGTGATTTGATTACTGATAGAAGTTTGAAACGAGAAATATCTGAGGTCAAATATAAGCAAATTCTGACACTGTTAGTAGTTAAATCTCCCAGTCTGCCTGCCCACTGCTATAGGCTTAAGGAGCATATTGTGTTTAGGCGTGGCATGGGCTTAAGGCTGGTGGCGCTGAGAGGGCCCTCACACTACTGACCAGCGGATTAAACTGGCAGGATTCACTCTGTTTAAGAACATTAAGACTGTCATTGACTGCCTGCAGTAACAGAGTTCAGAGTCTAGCCACTGCTGCAACTGTGGTGTCCATGTTTGTTAACTGCTTTGTTCACATGTGACCTGACTCGTAATCTCTCTTGGCTCACTGAAGAGTCAACACTGCATTACATTTTGGACTGCAAAGAATCGGCCTTACATTCAGCGCTTAAAATTGACTGTAGTTTTTGTAGCAGGCATTTTTATACACATATTGATGAAGTGCTAGAAAGTTCATAGCCTAGATTAGATGTGTTAGAGTGAAGAAATCAGCAAAAATGTGTAGTCCAGTGGTATTCAGAGCCCTGGCTTATATGTATGTGCTGTCAACTTTGCACTCTTCTGCTTGAAATGTGTGGGCAAATGTACGTCCACTGAGTACTAAAGCATTTAATTAGTCTACAAGTGCTGTTGGGTCTATTATTCTCGATGGATTAAACTGAAAGCGGTACCCATGCCTGTCACTGTAATGCTACGTGTGTTTAAGAGGTTGTTTGGTGTTCTCTGCAGGTGGCCCGTAAGCTGGTCATCCTTGAGGGTGACCTGGAGCGTTCTGAAGAGCGTGCCGAGGTGGCTGAGGCGTGAGTATTATTTACTGTCAATAGAGCACATGTCTGCAGCTCTGCTGCTGCGTGTACTTAAGAGCTCAAATTACAGAGTCATTTGTGCTAATATTGTTTTGTTCAACAGACGTATGTCCATGTGTACTCTGTGTTTTAAATGCAAATATAAATGAGACTTGTGGCTTCATTACAGTTGTAGTGTTGGTGACTATGGATAGTTAAGGCAAGACACAACAGGTGAATAGGGTAATTATTAATCCTTACAAGTATATTTTTGTATTGGAAGTTAAAAAAAATACTTTTGAATATGTAAATGAGACGTGATCCATTTAAATATGCTTGAATATACATATTTTTAAAAACAAAAATTTGGATTTTGGGTGATGTTAGAATTAAATGTATGTGTTTCATTGTGAAAACTAGAGGAAGGATTTTACAGAACAGATTAATGAAATCTCATTGTTCTGTTGTTTAATCACAAAAACACTGTGCACTGTTATTACAGTATTTACTTTTCAGGTCATTTTGCCAGTACAAAATATAGCATAAATCCATCTATGAGCAAAATATTAGGATATTCTTCTGTAATAACCTTCAGAATACTGTATGTACGATTTCATGGGTACAGGTGTTCTAGAAGCCGAGATGTTCTGAATATAGAGAAATATTCATTTAGAAAAAAAAACAGTTTTAAGAATGGGACATTTTAGACATTTTTATGATTATGGTTAAAGAAAAGAGATGTTTAGATACTATTTATCAAAAAATTTGAGAATTGATAGACAGGACCAAAATACTAATTTCTGCCTGTAGTGTCTTGCCTTAATTGTTTGACCAGTCGTGCTAAATATGCATTGAGAATAAGAGTAATGTGTGTGTTGCATTCGCTGTTATGGTTTACAGTATTGATTATATCTCGCATGAACAGCATGATGCATGTCTGTGGTGCCTAAAAGGACTCCCAAAGCAACAGGCAGTACAAATGATATTACCTGTAGTCAGTTAGCCATTTACATAAATTTAGAATTGAGTGCAATCGGAACAGAGAAGAAGCATATTCCCAATTAACCTTACAAGATTGTTAACCTGCTGCTTGTGGTCCTTCAGCCACCCCACTCCCAGTATTGGTAAAAGGAAGTCCAAGCGTGAACAGCTCTGGGGTCCGCTAACCACAGTCTCCCTTTGTTTTCTAAATGCATGCACCAATGCACCCCACCCTGGGACACACCACATTTGTGGCTCCCTCCTCCCCAACTTATTGCCTCCTTCCCCACATTCCCTGCCCATGTTGGACTAACCCAGTCGAGTCAGGCAGCTGGAGGAGGAGCTTAGACTCATGGACCAGAATTTGAAGTCCCTGATGTGCGGGGAGGAAGAGGTACTGCAGAGTGACTGTTGCTCAAGCACCCTGAATGCTAACGCTAACTCTTTTTCTCCTCCTTTCCTGCCAAAACTCGCTGACCACCTTCCCTGCTTTGGTTAGCTCTGCTGCTGTGCTTCAAGTGGCTCTCTCTCTCAGCAAAGTGCTTATAGGTGAACCATCTCCTGCCCAGCAAAGGTGGCCCCCACCAAAGCCTTAGGAAAAAACTCTTAATTATTAAGAGAAGTTGAAGGGAAATGAATTCTCTTATAAATGTATCCAAGTTAACAATCAATTGTTGAATTTATTAAATTGTAAATGTTGTCATGAATGTATTCAATTCAGTGACATTCAACTCGAAGTCTTCTTCCTAAGGCTTTTTTGTTAAGCACTGTTTTGATATCAGGCACATACAGTTGTGATAAAGGGTTTGTGAAGCCGTTGGAATTAGCCAGATTTCAGTTTTAATGACTCCAAAAAGTGATCTGGTCTAAATTGTAATAATGCGTAAAGATGGTTTATTTAGAATATGACACACAACATTTTAATGTAACTTATCTTTATTGAACAAATAGTTTAAACACTTCCTAGAAAAAATATGTGAACTTCTATATTTAGGAATAGTGGAACCTCCTCACAATCAACAAAAATGTTTAGCTGCTAATTAATATTGTTTAGAGGTTAGGAGATATGTTGGGCCCTTAGTTTGTAGAAATCTGGAATGTTTTGTATGAATGTCTTGCTTCAGGTCATGCCAAATTTAATAGGACTGAGTTCAGGACTGACCTGTCCATCCTAAAAGAGAGAATTCCTTCTGATCGAGGATTACACAACCACTTTTGAGTTTACATCACAGCAGATGTCCTGACTTTCTGCTGAAGAAATTCATGATACAATTTAAAATGCATTGGTCCCTCAATGATTGCAAGCTGTCCAGGTCCCAATGCAGCAAAACAGCCCCCACTTCATTAAACTACCACCACCATGTTTCACAGTTGAAACAAGGTTTTGGTGCTTATTAGTCTTGCAAGACAAGATATGATTTCATAACAAGAATATGTAACTGGGGACAACTTGTTAAACTTGTAGTGCTGGATATGCCCCTGCTAAGAGTATGACCTCTTTAAAACCTGCCCCCAAATTCCTGTAGTCTGTGCTCTTTTAATGTCCAGAGCATAATCAACAACACAAAACAAGCTAGCTAGCAAAACACTGTTCTTAGCTAACAGAGCTGTAAAAGGTAATGTAGAAATTTACCACATGTAATGTGTTCTCCGCACACACAACAATTATCTTCATGCTTATTTTGAGAATTTTTTGGGGACTTATCAGCCCTGCTAACTTTTGTTACATCAGTGGGCTAACAACAGGTTTGTTCTCTGCCAGACAGTGTTGACCAGCGCATCACCCCCACTTTGAGAAAGTTCAACTTTTGTTTCTTCATGTTCTTTTTTGGAGAGCAGTTGTTTTATGTGGTTTAACCTCTCAGGAAAACCACTTGTTCAGTATTTCTCTCATGTTAGACTCATTAATACAGCTGTTATTAAGCACAGGAGAACCTTAGCTGTCACTTTACGGTTATTGTATAATCAAAATGATGATTTTTTTTTGTTTTTTTTTTTTAGATTATTATTATTAGACCTTTCCAAAGAGGTCATTGTCCTAGAGGTTCTCATATTTTGGATTTGACTGTTTAAAACTGTAACACGCTGTGAGTTAAGTAACACTATCTGTATTTATTGTTAAGACTTAGATGACCACATCACATTTTACAAATCATTCATGTTGAAAGGTTTCACACTCTTTTTCTCACAACTGTTCATTTTATACCTCACTGTATCCAGAGTGTCTGTTGGTGCTGCCAGGAAAACCTCTTCTCCCTCTTCAGGTTGGGGTCGCCTTAGCTTAGACTTCTGCTCTCTCCATCTTCTGAAAGTGCTCTCTCTCTCTCTCTCTCCCCCTTTTTTCTCTCTTTTTTTTTTCCCCTCGGTTTTCCCCACCTCTGCTACTATGACACAGCAAATCTGGTGACCTTGAGGAAGAGTTGAAAAATGTCACCAACAACTTGAAGTCTTTGGAGGCCCAGGCAGAGAAGGTAGGAGAAAAAGCAGATGTTGGCTGTGTTACCGTGAAGAGCCAACGTGGCCTCTATGTTACAGTGCCAAGCCTATTGCACACCCACGGGCCTAGATGTTACCATAGAGATGATTACTGAAGCACTAAGTGTGACTTAGCAAAAACAGAAGGCCTGGACAGCCTTGTCAAGAAAGTAAAGCTTTTTTTATTCCCAAAGGTCTTAACTAAAGTAAACTCTGTGCTCTCACACAACTGTCTTTGGTCACGTTGTCATAATATTGGCAGTAAATGAGGTTTGTAACTTTCAAGCACAAAGATACAACTGATACAACTTGGACATAGTAAATCTGTAATGTGCTTTTTGATAATGTAAAATAAAGTATTAGGAAATGGCAGTTTAAAACATAATTTTTCTAAAAACAATTTGTTTTTAGGTTTTTTTTATATTACGTTATCACATTTCCAAAAAAATAAGTATTTGAAGAACACCAAAGCCATGCCCTTTTGAAAGGCAAACTCCTATAAATGAAAATGCGATGAGCCAAAAGCGAAGAGGCAATCACCACTTCACTCTTTTTATGGTCACCTAAAGAGCCATTTCATCCATTTAGTGAATTGAAACAGCCACTTTTTAATGCCACAATGGAGTTTCTGACGGTGCAAAATGTTAGTCAATCTGCCCCAACACCTTACAAAAAGAACTCCAAACTCTGGGGAACTGTAAGCTGTTCCATGCAATGAATCCTCATTCTTATAATATAATATCTGAGACATTTTGTATTGTTTTCCATGTAATTACTGAATAAGCATTACGATTTGGACATAAAAAGTCCAAAAAAATCCTAATTTAATTGTGCCACGCTGTTGTATTTGATTCCACTGCTCCCCCTCTGTCCTGGTATGCTGCTCTGCAATCTTTCTGTATTGTCAGAAATCTTGCTTTGAAACCGTATTGTTCTTGAGATTCAAGCTGTGCTGGTCACATCATTAATTATTTCACCGCTCTTTAATCTCTAGTACTCCACAAAAGAAGACAAATATGAGGAGGAAATCAAAGTCCTCACTGAAAAACTGAAAGAGGTGAGCAGCCTGTTAAAGCATGTAAAGTACTGTAGAATTTCTGTAATATGAATTATGAGTTCTCCGGTTTCATTGACTCATAGAAAAGTTATACAGTTTACGATCTGGTGGATTCTTAATTGTTTTCTGTATTGTTGGCTGATTTTTCTAGGCTGAGACTCGTGCTGAGTTTGCAGAGAGGTCTGTGGCTAAACTTGAGAAGACCATTGATGATTTGGAAGGTATGTTTACAGCAGCTTACCTAATTACAGTTCTGCCTACATTCTGATCGTTAACTACTTAATCCAGGTTGGGCATGTTGCAAGCTAACAAGTTGTCATTTGCATTTTTATTTCTCCCTGTTGCATTTATATAGCATGCTTGTGTTTATTTGAAAGACTTAAAATATTGCAGATACTGCACTGGATTGGTTTAAAAACTGCTGCATGTTGTCTGTACACAAGTAGGAAGTATGTCAAGTGAGTTGTCAATAGTCACATCGTTGGTAGAATGTTTTGTAGTTATCTTTGCTATTATTAATTAGGTGATATTTCTATCAGTAATTATGTCTGATAGTTTAAACATAGTGCGCTTCACTGTGTACAGTGTTTAAAATTTTAGTAACAGTGATGTACCTAAAAAAGCACATACCAGAATGATACAGCCACTACCAAGCTGTTGTCAGTGCTGCTGAGAATGTCTGGGCAGTGGTCTTCTTATAGTGGTCCTTTTTCATTGATGGGGGTCACTTAATTGTGTGGCAAGAAGATGGACGACAGTTAGTAATTGTAAACTTACAAAGTGCACCTGTATGTTTGGTGTTTCTGATAAAATGGTCAGTAAGTTTAGGAGCAAGCATGAGTTTAGGTATCTTAAACTAGCTCTTGTAATGTTCTCGGGAATCCTTTTCTTAATGTTGGTTGGAAGGTTGTCAGTATTGAAGTATTATAAAGTATTGAAAGACTTGAGCTTTGTCTTAATATGTAATGATGCACAGAAATAAAAATCAAAACAAAAAAAATGACTATTAATAAAAGAGTTTACATACACAGTTAAAATACACTTGCTAACATATTACAGTATGTAGGCTATAGTGTGCCACAAAATCCTGTGTCCTCTACAACAGGGAACAGTTGGTCATTCAAGGCAGTGAACTCCACTATTGCTTAATTGTACTTTGTACTTTTGACTCTGTCGTTTGTGAATCTTCATCATTCAAAAAACTGTGGCTACAGATGGTGTTGGTGGGTAGGCAGGAACTTTCCTTTCTGCCTCTGTTGTTTTGCTGTATTCTGTGTATTGAGCAGGTTGCTATTCTTTTAAAAGTGGTCTGTTAAAGCTGTAGTGGAGAAGTTTCATACCAACTCTTGATACTTTGCATGAGCAGTGATTACAAAATGCTTGTCTGACAACCATGAGAGAGTTCCACATGGTTGATATTTCGACTATAGATCTGCTACTGCTCGAACTGTTGTGTGTCTTCTGTTTTCTATTTTCTTCTATATTTGGAAAAAAAATTATTTTTGAATGGATAAAAACCGAAAATGTCATTCTTGACCACTGTTGCCAGAAATGTCGGTTCATCTATATTGACATGGTTTATAGTGACAGCTGTAAAGAGAGAAGACAGACTGTACATTTCTCAGCATGAAGAAGTTATGGTTTAGCTCTGAACATTTGACTCAAATTAACTAAACACTAACAAAAGGTTCAGGTGACATGCAGATGTGTGATTAATTGGTTTGTCTGGCACATGTTCTGTGTTTTGTACTTTCTCAAAATGCAAGTGTGCTTAGTGAGGGTGGATTACTGCTGAGCATGAGCATGCTGTTTGAGTTTTTAAAACTCGAGATATGAAAGGAAACCTTATTGTATCAATCATATATACTACTCATTTGTATGATGGTTGCTGTTTAAACTGCTTTGATATATTAGTCAAGCCAGATTGAATTTTCTTATGTTTATTTAATCAGTTTAGTGGCCAATTACAGTGATTTCCGCTTTGTAAGTTTAAAGAAAGGACGGCTTGTACAAAGTTCAGTTCTCTTTCTGACCTTCTGTTCTCTTTCCGTTCTCTCTTTGTTTCGTTCTGTCTATCTCGTGTGTCTGTTTGGCTTACTGTTTGTCTGCTTTTTGTCTGGTGATGAAATGCAGATGAGGTGTACGCTCAGAAGCTGAAGGGTAAAGCCCTCAGCGAGGAGCTGGATCTGGCTCTCAACGACATGACTACTCTCTAGATGCACTCTCTCTCACCCTCTCTCTCACCCTCTCTCTCTCCACTCCTCCTTCCTCATCGCCCCCATCTCCTAAGTTGTACTTCCTCGGCTCTTCCTACATCTGGCTCATCTGGGGTGTACTCATTGCCATCCTTAGTTATGTTTTTCCCCCCTCCATTCCAGTGTTAGATACAATCCCAGTCTCACATGTTTAAGCATAAAATCAGTTCCTAGACAGGATTAAAAAAAATGTTATCACTGTTTAAATCCTTAATGAATATGAGATGGCATACCCCAAGGATCCATTCTGGGTCCTATCGGTTTGTTTTTTTTTGGTTTTTTTTTCTCCTGTGCTGTACCCGGAGGTATCAACACTGTTCTTTTCCCTCACTTGTCTTTTCAGAAGTTCTTATTTATGTCCCTAAGCTTTGTCTGTAAGTGTTTACACCTCTGGTCTGATGTACAGCTGGAACTTGTTCACTATCTGTTCTATGTCTCTGTAGTGCTTTACTTTCTCCCTCTGTAATAAAAGGCAAAAACACCTTTCATTCCCCCTCTTTATTTTTTCATTTATACCATTTATGCTTTTTGTTTTTTGTGGGTTTACAGCTAATGTATTTACTGCTTTGGATGGTATTTAGAAATTAACAATCAGTAATATTCAAAAGACTTTAAATTTTTTGATGAATGACAGAATCACTCTTATTTGTTCATTACAAAAGAGAGGCTGTTGTGGAGCCAACTAGTGCCAACTAGCCAACATGTGTCTGTTAGTAACCTTAACTATGAAAATAAATATATTCAGTAATAATTTTGTTTTTGGACTGTTATAGTTCCATTTATAGTTTCTTTTCTCTGGATCAGCTGGTTCAAAAAAAACAGTAGAAGTAATTTTCTTATGGTGAGCATGTATTCATACATTATATATTCATATGTAATACAAAAAGCTGTATTTTAAATGGGTTGACAATTTTAACATGGGTTTCCAAATTTCAAAAACATGCTGTCTAGGGGCGTTTTTCCACTGCATAATCGAAAACATGAACTGTTGTAGTTCTATTTTTCCACCTGTTTGAGACAGCTGGAACCATCATAGGAACAACAGTTAATACTTTTATTGTGTTTTTTGTCATTTTGCCACTCTAAAGCATTTTATTTAAAGCATCTTGCTTCCTAGTTAGCTTAACTCAATGGCCAATAAGAAATTGTATACTGCACTATTCACACAACAATTAATGACAAACAAAATTGTGTGTAGTCAAGCAAAGCGCGTGATTTTTGTCTGTCGAGTAACACTGTTAGCATTTATATATTTAGTGTTTATCTTCCAAAGTAGCTTACCTTGGTGAGCTCTTTACAAATGAATAATTCTAAAAATGGCAGTCAGCATACAACTCTAGTTATGTAATAATGCTTCAGTCTATCTTCACCTGGAAGAGAATTAGCTAGTGTTGCCAAAACAGAGGAAAAACCCTTGAATACCATTATGTCCTGTTGGTGCTAATCTCTTTAGATTCAGGTATCAGAAAAAAACAGCTAGGCCTTCTGATACTAGATCAGTGGCCAATGGAAAAAGCACAGATCCAGTTTTTTATGCTGAAAGTTCTGATACTTTGTGCAGTGTAAAAGTACCCTAAATATCTAGAGATGATACAACAAAAAAAGAAAGTAAGAAGAAACCGTGCTTTGACATCTGATTAGCTGTAGCTGTTTCTAAGGCTGGCTTTATTTCCATGCAGCTTACTAATTTACATATTTGCTGGATTTTTGTCATCGTTTTTATATTTTTTCCAGATGCCATTGCCTTTTTTCTGCATCTACATTTGTATCTATGTATCTATGAGTTCTTCACTTTGCATGTTAGTATTCATATGTTTTGTGTATGTTAAGCCTTTACAAATGTTTAAGTAGCTATTACAGTTACAGCCCACTTGATGTCTCACTTATCTTGTCCTAGAAGCACAAGTTCTCTGTCTTCTCTTCTGTGATAATTACCATTCTTTGGATCACAAAGGAATCTGTGTTCTGTGTAAAATTAAGCTGAGCCTACACTACATGATTTTTAGCCCGATTTGAACCCTGATTTGCTCCTTCTGACACATTTTGACAGTCTGGAGCGATTTTCTAGGTAGAGAGCAATTGACCGCGAATCTAGCCTCCCAGTCGAGTTCTGAAGTTATTGGAGGCCTTTCCGATATTTTCAGGCATGTTTGATTGATTTTTATGACTAAAATGTTCATGAGTCCTGTATTGTGAGATGGTCAGAAATGTAACTCAATGAGTGATTCAAGCAACAACTAATGAGAGAGGGCAAAGGCAAAAAAGGCAAATGGACGTGTATGCACACCACGAGGGCGGCACACCACAAAAACAGAGGAGCTGCTTGTTGAACCCAGGCTAATAAAAGCCTTTGTGATGTGTTTATAATGTATGGATCCAGACTCCAGACCTGAAGTGACTCTCTTCACAATTTCAGGTCAGCTGCAAGTTTGTAGTGAAATGTTCTCCAGATCTCAGTGATATCAGCATTTCTCAATCGCATATTCATCCTAGGTTTGTGTTTTTGCTACACGTAACTGTTGCTCATTTCATAGAACTTCAAAGCACTGACAGGTCCAGTCCAGTTTAGCTTTGTTTGTGTCACAGGGGAGCTACTCCCTCTAGGAGTTTGAGTTCTTATTCATAGCTAAAACTCATTACGTGTGATATACACTCTCTTTGCGTTATCATCTTGTGTGCATGCCCTCGCGACAAAAACACAATCAATTCTGTGAAAGTCTGACTTTAAGACTGACGTTAAGTGTGATATACTCCGTCTTAGAAATCTGTTAGGATTTTAAAAGTCGCGTAGTGTACGCCCAGCTTTAGGGGCCATCAAGAGAGGAGAAAATTATGCTACTTAAGTGCAGTTCACTTTCATGTAGATTGTAAAGGTGATCATAAGGTAAGTGATAACAGTCCAAATGCAGTAGTCCTGTGTATCTAGAAATATGTATTTTCCACAAGATTTCTCTACTGGTGCACCATGAGGGCTACTAATTTTAATGATAATCATATACACAGGTTATAATCGCTGTGTATAAAGAACGCCTATGTGTGTATTTAATTATATAGAAACAGGTAAAGCAGTTGTACTTTCCTTCCTCTGACTCTCCAGTAGCTGTTGATGCCCTTACTGCTTCCCTGCTCTCCAGCACCTTTTTGCCTTTTGACTGCACTAACCTCTCCCTCCCTCTCTTTCTTTCTTTCTGTTCTTTGTTCTTTCCCTCCATCCTCTTGGCTCTTCCTCTGTTCTCGGCTCTTGATGATGCTGTGGCCGCAGATCGCTTCCAAAAGACGGAGGAGAAAAACCACATTCTCAGTAATGAGCTGAGAGTAGTTTTAAATGAGCTCAACAGCTGAGCTTCTCCAGATGAGAACAGTTTTGCTTTTTTTCCCTATTTGTGTACTGTATGTTGTCTAAAATCACTGTGATGAGCAGAAGTGGCTGCTGTTCTGTTCTATACTGTTTTTAGCAGCAGGCGCTGTCTTCAGCTTTGCTAAACTACATATATACATATGCAGAATATACGTAGTGGAATATAAACTGTGTCATTTGGCTTGTAATGTGAAATGGTTTGAAGGGCAGTACTTTACTTGGCACAGATATCAGTGTGCATTAGGGACGGCTCCTGCCCTAGAAATGTAGGAGAACTTTTTTTTAATGTAATTTATAGTTAATGTCACAACACAAACTTTAATACCAATTCTGAAGTAGGTCCTTACATTTGGCCATGGCCGAAGTATGTCTATGTATAATACAATACATTTATGCTCAAAACATAATTATGTGCCACAAGGTGATGTTGCTGGGGTCAATAAATATAATTTAAAAAAGCCTTTAATGTTTATTGACTTTGTTGGTAGCTTATAGAATAAAAGCAGCCGTTTTCTATACAAGCCTGTTACCAGTGATTACAAAACAGATGGGGAAAACACCAGTTTTTAAGCGAATGCTCTTGCTTTTTTCTGAGAATATTTAAGCTTGAGTACTATTTACTGCTGTAATGATAAAACTGTGATGTTAGCTTACTTATAGATTACTTATGCAAAGTTTGCCTGTATGTTTACATCTTTCCTCTTAAGATCTTTATCAGTAATGCTGTAAACCGGATGAATATTTATGTCTAAAGACATGTTGAGCTTAAAAGTTGTTAAATGTTAAGCTTCACTATGTGCATTGTGTAAAAAACCTTCTGAAATATTATTAAGCTACACTAATCTAACTGTAGTTAAACATGCAGACCAGTTTTCATGGCATTGTGTTCTCCTGTTACCCACAAGTGACCCTTCAGTTTTTTGGCTTAACAGCTCTATGTGGTCGGTGCACTGAGCCTTTGTGTTTAGTGTAACCCAAACCTGAGCTGACATTTTACTCACACAACGCTACTCTCACTGCTGAGAGCTTCAGGGATGCACCTGGAGACAGGAATCCCCTTTCTGTTCACAGACATGTGTGAAAGCAAACAATAGCAAATGTCTGTACTGTAGTCTGGTTTAAAAGGTTTATAAGTAAGTTGTCTGTGATGATTTTTTTTTCTTAGTATAGTTTGTGTAGCCGTTCTGAAAATACAATTATTGTTATTATTATATGTTGTTAGTATATTCTTAATGGAATGTATTCTAATACAGTACTGTGTCACCATTTATTTAATTTCCAGTCAAACCATGCAACTGAGTACAAGTTATTCATTTTTCAGGAGATGTTTCTGAGGAGGTTAGAAAGAGGACTGCATAAGGAAGGAGAAAGTTGAAGAAAAATAAGTATGGAGAAAAAAAACAGGAACTTCTAAAAAGTGATTAGAAGTTGTTGAGATAATAGAGTGGGGGTCTACAAGGTCTTTTGCAACTGTACAAGATCTGGTAGACCCATAAAACCTGCAGCATCACAAACAGTACTCAACTATGACAAAAATCATAATTGTGATTTTGGTCAATACTAAGATCATGATTATTTAACACAGTTACTCACTGACTTTGAAAATATTGTGCATTTGATCTTTTTTTTAACAGTGAAACTGAACAGTAAACTAAAAAAAGCACATAGCTGTAAATGAAAGGGTGCACTAGATTTATAATACTAGACAAAATGAGAGCATCATTGCAAAAGCAGCACAATAACCGTTTTATCTCGATTATCTTGTTTTTTATAATCGATGGAGGCCAAATTGTAATTCAAAATAATTCAATATATCGCCCAGCCCTACTTAAAGCTTTTATCTTTGAGAGAGAGAGAGGAGAAAATCGAGCTATACTCTTGCTTCAGATCTGAAACATCCTTTCCATCTATCTGTCTGTCCACTGTGAGAAGACAGCTCAACACTGTGAGCCTGAAAGTATGTGTAGCTGTCAAAAGGCCATTACTGAAAAAAGGGAACCGACAAAAAAAAGTTTGCAATAGAACACTGAAAGTGGACACCTGAGATGTGGAGTAAGGTTTTATGGACTTGTGAGTCTAAATTTGTAATTGGGATTATTTGGATGGTGAGAAGCAGAAACTGCAGCCAACTTCTAAGACTGAACTTTGGAGGTGTGGAAAAATAGCCCTGCAAATATCTTTCAAAAGCTAAAAGCATGTTTTCTGATTTTTTTTCTTTTTTTTCGACACAGAAAAACAAATGACTTGTACTTAAAAGCCACTTTGACTAGAAATTAAGTAAATGCAGGGTCTCTGACATTTACACAGCACTGTATATCTTTAATGTATTACTACTTTTTTTGTTTGGGAGTATAATGAATGGATAGCTATGTTATGACTCTGTTATGATCTTGAATTTGGGAAGTCCCATACTTTTTCTGCCTTAGGCTGTAGATTAAGAGTTTTGTTTTCAACATTTGTTCTTTTTTGTTCCCTTCCATCACCAGAGAAACTAGCCCAGGCTAAAGAGGAGAACCTAGGCATGCACCAAGTGTTGGACCAAACTCTAATGGAGCTGAACAATTTATAAAGTGCGAATGCCTCGCAATCAAGAGTCTTACACGGTATAGAGCTTTCCAACGGGGCCCAAAGCACCTCCTCTCGGCCTATGTGCACACATCCCTCACAGGGGTAAGGTCTTAGTAGCTTCAGTCTGATAAATGAAGATGTCCTGAAATTACACTCTGCCATTTTATACACATAGATAGAAATCCTGTATGATTTTTTTTCCCCAGAACTCAAGCCCATTTTAAAAGTTTTTATTGGTAGTAATAGAATCAGTAATGTATTCCTTAGTATCATTGAACTGAAATGGTTCAGACTTGGAGTAGGTTCATTTCACCAGCCTAATAAATATATGACCAGTTAATAATTCATCTATTTACTAACAGGTGTCGCATTCACGGAGCTGTATGCTCTTTCATTTTGAAGTAATGCTTTAACTGCTCCACTGTTTCAACCCAAATGCTTTTAACCATTTTAATGTTTTCTGAAAACAAACCAGTAGAGGGACTTTTTGCCTTTTTTTTTTGGAAGTAAATTAATGTAAGATTAACATGGACTGATTTCATGTGTGTAAATGAAGCACAGAATTGTTGTCAATAATGTTTGTTGATTACCACTAAAAATCAAAGGCTTTTTGGCCTGTTTTAGGCACTTAAACTACTTAAATAATAAATAAACTTCCTCAAAGTAATCAGCACTTGATCATATCTTCTGCCGGATGATTACTGACCAAAGGTCGGCAGAGATGATGCAGCTAGGTGGGCGCAAGTGCTTGTTTACAAATGTGAAATTGGTCTGTTGAATTCTTCTTCTCCAAAAAAGACAGCAATGGCCAAAGCGATGTTAATTCACTGTCAGTTTATTTTCCACCTCAAATGAAGTTGACCTCTGAATGTGAATGTATTTGTATTTGACAGTTCCAGATGTTTGAATGACGTATCAGAAACGGTTCTTATTTCACTGCATTTTTTTCCCTTCAGTTTTTTACCATAATGTATTAAATCTGAGATTAACTTGTCATTCAGTAAAACTTTTTACAATAAACATGAAAACAGATTTGCTTTTTAAAAATGAACTATCGATTGAAATATGGCTTTCACCGTTATAAAAGGAAAGTCTCAGAATAAGACCACACAATTTGAAAAATTACTGTCTCATTAACAAATCCTTAATTATTGATTATAGCCTGTTTTTAATGCATCACCTTTCTATGCAGTTGTGTAAGCTCTCTTAAAGATGATTAAAATGTTGAAGACAAGTGGCTCTTTGGATCATTTCTTTTTCATTTTGGGTCATTAATGTGCCATTTTGCATGTCTTCTTATTTATCCTGTGTGGTAATGAGCTCATAATGTACTGTACATCCTTTTCTTTAAGTGCTCATATGACAATTCTAGTAAGTCTAACTACATAGTAGCCTTACAATAAAAAAAAACTGTAATTTAACATTTTAACATTAATACCTTTGTTTGTTAAGAGTTAATATGACCAACAGATGGCAGCTTTTGAATTAAGGACCTGAGGACATGAACAGCGCTATACAGGTAAAAGGACTACAGTGCAGCGTGATGGCCCTGGATTGAATATCAGTCAGCAGATCCAGTTTCACATTCTCGTGGGTTGGTTTACTAGTGCAACAATGTTTAAAGCTGTTTGCATGCTTTTTTGCTTCTTTAGTACTATTAATTACACTATATAAGCCAGTGATGACTTATGACTAAATATCAGTGTACCACAAACAATGAACACAGATATCCACAGTTTTGTTGAATTTATAAGACATGATATAATTAACCCATTAGTACCTATATCTGAAATTTTGGTCCATATGTTCTCTGAGCTTACCTGAACACAAATCGGAAGTAGTTTCTCAAATCTATCAAACTATATGGCTAATAAGTGAGTTTTTATCGCTTAATTTTTTGTATTAACATTAATATATTAATTTTAATTTTAAATTATATTAAAAGTATTTAAAATCTCACAAGACAAAGCAACATAAAGTCCAAATCTGGTTGTGAATAAAAATATTATGTTTACTTGTCATCAAAAAAAATTCAAATGGGTACTGTTAGATATTTGTCCAAACTACAGCTCTACAGAATTTAATCGCTTTAGACCAGTCAGAACCAGCTATGTGGCAATTTCAGATCATTTTTTAAAAGATGAAATCATAAACCTTACTGAATAGCAACGAACCGATGGCAAAGGTGAGCAAAGAAAAACATAAAAAGGCTCCAAAACTCAAAGAATATACGTAATATCACAATATAAATAGAATGTTCTTAAATAAAATACCTTAAGGAAAAAAAAGAATGAAATATTTATATTGGTGTACATTATTTGCCAATAACATATTACCATGTGATTAATGCAGCTAATGTTACTCACATTTAGGAACAGGAACAAGAGAAAGTACAATCAAGAATATATAGACCAATAAGCTGTATATCTGTAATGAGAGGGCATAAGCCATTGAAGTCAGAATAGAAAGAAATCCTAGGGATCTCTGCAAAGTGTTTAAAGAGTAATTGTTCTTGCATTACTTGCGTTGGAGTCATGAAAAAGTATATTTCTATATGGAAAGTAAGGTAAAATGTATGCATTTAGAAATTTAGCTTAATGAAAAATGTATTTGCCTAAAACATTTATTACTATTTGGTATTTTTGTTAAATATAAATTGCAATAATGTCTTAAAAGTTTTTCTTTGAATTGCTTAAAAGTGTGTAGGCCGGGGGAAGGGGGAGGAAACTGAATCCTTTGGGTGTATAAAACTGTCTCAAACTGACCTCTATGTCTTATGTCATATGTACTTCCATGTGTAACTGTCTACAAAACAAAAGTGAGTGACCTGATCAGATGATAAAGGATGGATTAAAGGAAAATTGTGCTATTTTTTGGATGGTAGTGGTTGGCAGTTCAGGTGCTGTCTTGTATTATTTTCATTGTTGATTGGCGTGTGGGATACACTTACAATCATTTAGAGCATGTTTTTGTGCCATAAATGATTTTCCCTCACAAAAATCTATAGATGTTCTAATAATATAATAAACACCTAATTTCAGCTATAGCCTTATAGTAGTACTATCATATAGTTACGTGTAACACCTCTGTAGTATCCTGGCTATAGCTGTAAGCTCTGTATAGGAATTCTTTCAAATTCTTCATCGTTTGCTACAAACTGAATGAAGTGTGGATTTGGAACGTGGACCCTATTATTCGTGATTTCTGTTGTGCCCTATGTAGGGAGCAGGGAGTATGTGAGACAATGGGACGAGACTAGTGCAGCTGGCGCCGTACACCCGGAAACACAAGCGTATGGTTTGAAACAAACAAAAGCCCCATGCTTTGCTACCGAGGAAAAAAGGTGGAACAGAAGCCCGAGGTTGGACAATGTTAGACACGAAACCGCGGAGTGAAACGGGGTTTTAGCTGTTTCGATATTAAATCAACTGAAAAACAGCAACGGTCGCTGGAGCTCGCGCGGTTGTTAAGGTTGTTAGCGAAGGTGTTGCTGAGCTTTAGCGCTAACAGTAAGTTAGCCGGCGCAAAACCAGCACATTTCTAGCATGTTGTGAGGTTTTTATTTGCGTTTTGGGGCATGTTTAACAACCCTCAAGTGTAGGGCGCTAGCTTGTCTTTGTATGGTGTCCAACAGCTCGAAACTAGTGTGTGTTTTTCGCGGTTAAATCCCCCCAGTCTCGCCCAGCTGGGTGTAGCTGCTCCCTCGCTAACCGAGCTGAAGGTTTGTGCTGAAGTTTTCTCAGCATGACCGCTGCCGTGTTCTTCGGCTGCGCTTTCATAGCGTTTGGCCCTGCGTTCGCCCTCTTCATCTTCACCATCGCCAGAGACCCACTGAGAGTCATCATCCTCATAGCAGGGTGAGTATCTGAATGTGCAGATAACCTAGTTAACTACTAGATCCTCAACGAAGCTGAATTCAGCTTCTTGTTCGAGTTTTCCCGTTCCACCTTAAATGGTGCAGCAGCTGATGTGCCAGAATCTAACTGCAGCACCGTTTAAGGTGGAACGGGAAAATTCGAACAGCCAACTTCAGCCTCGAAGATCCTCAGGTGGCTGCATTCTTAACCACAGCTGTTCGCTATTACTGCTTGTAGAGGTGGCTGCTGCTGAGTCCATGGTTGTTGTGACCACACTCAGCATCAGTTATTCAGTTACTCATGATCACACGTTTCTCAATGCATAATTACTCACGAAAAGTAAGAACTGCCTCCAAAACCACACACTAGCATATAAAGTGTACCCTGGAGGTACATTTATATTTGTACTGGGTGGTTTTGGGCAAAGCCAAGTGCTTCCCTGTCTTACTTGGCACCCTTGAATCTGTGCACCACGCTACTCCAGGTTGTCTGTTGGTTGTTGTTATTGTCAAAGTTATGACAGACATTTTCCGTTTTGGAACAAGACGCCGACAGATCTCAGTGGTGCACTTTTAAAGGCAGGATCTATTGGAGAATCTTAAAACAGTAAAGACACAACGTAACCCAATTTGATTTAGTACAGTTTTTCCCAGTCCTGGTCCTGAAGTCCCTGTGTTTTGCACTTTATAAATGTTTCCATATTCTAACACACCCATTTTAACTAGGGGTGCACTGATATGGAAATTATGGGCTCTTGAATCATGGGATTCTGATACATGATATTTTCCATGCACATATCTGCTGATATTCAGATGTTAACAATTTCATAAAATGTAGGAACTGGGACTAAGTCTGACCTGGGTTTGCATTATGGAAAAATATTAAATTTGTTTCTATAAGGTTACAAATGCAATACAATTTAATAAAATACAGACATTTTAGCACAGTCACCCATCATCGCCTAAATGTTCTGCTGTTCTGGAGTGCGGTTAACAAATGACATACGCCTTCAAATATTGGCTTGAAATATTACTCAAATCTAAACATCTGTCCGATTTTGTTTGTTTGTTTTATTTATTTGTCAAGCAGTTAACCGCTCATCCCAATATGGTTCTAATATAGTGATGCATCCCTAAATTTTAACATCATGAAGAGCTTGGTAGTGATAAGTTCAGTCAAGTGCCAAACAAGAAAAACACTAAGACGTGCAGTACAGGGAGCACTGATTTAGTCCAAGAGGAAGGAAAAGATTTAATGAATGTTGGCACTTCCCTTTCAGATTAATAGGTGGAGACTCAGATAAAATTACTGATACTGAAGAAACTTACCATAAAGCTCTAATTTTTTCCTTGCTCTCGACTAAAGGCAGCCGCCAGTCTGAAAGCCTGTACACCTTAGGAAGATCTCTTTACTCATTTACTCTTCTATTTTTAAATGCACACCCGTGTCTCGATTGATAATTGATTACTAGTCCAGAGAAGGTCTTCCCTGACACCTTTTGTAGGAATATTTAGTGTCATTAAATAAAACTAAATTGCAATATTTGCTGAAATTATAACATGTTTGTGCCTAATCTCACAAATCAAACCTGTGCACCACACTGCTTCAGGTTTTCTGTCTTGTTAATGTTACAACAGAAACTTTCATTTTGCATTTTGTTGATATGAAAACCCAAATAGATCTACTGAATGTTTTACTTTGTTTTTAGAGATAACAAATAATGATGTATTGTCTTTGTCTGTGTTTCAGTGCTTTTTTCTGGCTCCTGTCCCTCTTGCTGTCCTCTCTGGTATGGTTCATTGCCATGAAGGCTAGCAATACAGAGGATAGTAAGGTGCAGAAGGGCCTGCTCATATTTGGGGTCATGTTCTCAGTCCTCATTCAGGAAGTGTTCAGATTTGCCTACTACAGACTGCTCAGGTAAAAGCTTCTTTCAGCAATACATGTCTACTCATACATTACTGAATAAGCACCAATCTAGACTTCTTCAGTCTTAGAGGAAACAGTTTAGTGTTCCCTAGGGCTGACTTACTTGATTCGCCTTATCGCCTAATGATCAGGGTGACCCTGAGGTGGATCAGATGTCTTTGAGCACGCAGAACTTGACAGGCCACGTACTGGTCCAACATTCCCCAACAAACGCTAGCATGCTAATGTTGGTTGTTGGCTGTATAAAAGGTTTTAGAATGAAAAACTGGCAAACCAAATAAATCAGTGTGAATGGGAGAGAACATTTTAGAAGTATATGAATGTGGTAGAACATTCTAGAAGAGAATGAATTGGGGGGGCGTTTCTAGATTGGGATGAATGTAGTAGAACATTCTAGGACAGTGTGATTTGAGGGAAAGCGTTCTAGTAAACAGGAGGAACATCACAGAGCTGAGGGGTCTAATGTATCGTCAAAGGGCTGATGTGGCTGCAAGTTTTCATTCTTGTCAAGCAGAAGCACCTTCGATCAGTTGTTTGAAGACCAAGTGGAATCAGGTGTGTTCCTGTTTGGTTGGGATGAAAACCTGCACCCATGCTGCTCCTTTGCAGATAAGACTGCAGACTACTGTTCTAGAGACTCCCAGCAAGCAAACATTAGGTTTAGATGGTGTCTCATACCTGTATTTGCTTGCTGGGAGACGTCTGTTTTAGAGACTCCCAGCAAGAAAACACAGGTATGGCACACCATCCAAACGTTTTGGTTCATCGGAGAACACTGGGTAATGTTGGAACACTGGGTAAGTGTATCATGGCTTTAAGATGTTCAGTGTTGTGGGAAATTGATATAGAATGAACATTCTAAGATGTGTTCTAGTCTTGTATTATCATGATGCATGCTTTCTAGTGGATAAAGTGAAGTGACTGCTGGGAGTTTTCGTTAATGAACAACTGAGCATGAGGTGATGAGCAGGATAGTGATCAGGGAGTTACCACCGTGTCAAAGGTTGTTCACATGGAAATACTTGGGCTGGCGCTCTGGGTATATTGGCCACTATCACAGATGACACTGGCTAAGACGGTTAGCTTAATTGTACATAGTTGTCAGGCATTTTAGATGTGTTAGATGACATACAGTATGTTATCCACAATTTGTCAGTTTCAGAGAATTAATGTAGCACTATTTAAAATCCACATTTGCTTTCTGTTCTGTTCCCAAGTTCATGCTGTGGAGTATGTCCATTAGAACACCTTGTTCTCTAAGAAACACTGTCACTGTCTGATTCATGTTTTTTTTATTCATTTATTCATTCATTCAGCCATTTTAAAACACTAACCCTCCCTACACTGTACATTTCATAACAAACAGACCAATAAAAAAGGTCCAAAAGTACTTAAAATAAAATTTCGTACATTAACATACATTCAGTTTAAAAATATGTTGAGGCTTTGATACAACAAAGCATTTTTTTTTTTAAGTATACATATCATTTGTAGGAATGCTTCCGAAGCCTTTAGCAGAATGGAACAGAGCAGACTTGTAGCTTACCACTCCAGAATTTGGAAAAGAATTATGGGTTGTTTGCGGAGGTGAGTTGGATGGAGTCTGTATGTGAGCTTAGCTCATAGAAAACTATAAAACTGAGGTGGAAAGCACATTAATGTCAACAGCACTCCCAGCAGAAATGAATCTTCCCACCAAATAGAGCTGTGGCCTTGCAGGGCCTTCCCCTGAGAGAGTGTGGAATGAAGTGAAGAGTGAATAAAGAGAGTTTGTATTGAGATTCACTGTTTGTATCTCTCTTGTGTCATTAGAAAGGCTAATGAAGGCTTGGCAGCCATTAGCGATGAAGAAGCATCTCCCATTTCTGTCCGGCAAATGGCTTATGGTAAGATGTGCTGTTTTGACAACTTTTTCAGACTTGCTGCAATTACTTATCACATATTGCTCAAGATGGGATTAATTGGGAATAATTTTCTTCTCTCAGTTGAAGACAGTAGTTAATCAGTCCAATAAAACTAATATTAGATGCATTTAAACAATCAGATGACCAGATAATGTGATTTTTATATCTGTAGCCAAGTGATGGCTGCTGTGGTATAAATGGGCCTGCATGCTGCAACATGTTGGGGTTTTTCTAAGGCCTGTTTCACACGTTTCCTCCGCTTGGCTTGAGCGACGCGGAATGTCTTGCTTTTCGTTTCACTGTCCATGTTAACAGGTTATGACGTTCACACAGGCTACAAGGGCAGAGTGGCGGTGCGTCCCAGACGCGTTCCAGAAACGGCGCTGCAGCTAGGCGTTGAGCCTAATTTTTCTTTGTGCTACAAACAAAAATACAGTGAAATAAACTATTAATACCAATCAAAGAGAAACGAGAAAAAATGATTAAAAAGGTCAAACACAAATTATACTGTTTATAGCCCTTATCAAGCGCAATACTAGGTAAACATTTTCCAGTAAATCTACAGCCTTGCCCAATCACACGTCAAAAAATTGCCAAGAGTAAATAAATGTCATTTTGCTCTTTTAAAGATTATCTTTTTTTATTATTTAAAGATTATTTTTTTTTGTTCAGCAAACTGAAGCAACTGATTTGAATATTTATCTGTTTGGCAAAAGGATGTCTCCAGGTTTTGCTTACAAGCAATGACAGTTTCCAGTATAAGCTCTCTGTTCTGCTCTGTAGCGCACATGCTATGTGTATGAATGGCCAATGCGTGCGAGCTATAGCAGTAGTTATGCTGCATCACTTATGCACATTTAGTATGTCTGAAACAGGCCTAACTCAATTCAGTGTGCAGGTCAAAAAATTGTGCTTTTTAAATTAATTAGAGACAGCGAACTGTAGTTTTTCTGAAATGAAGTGCCTTGTGAATTTCACTGTTGAAGTCAACAGCATTATGTAATGCCATTTAATAGACCAAATTTGGAAATATAAGACTAGTAATGGGGAAAAATACAGCACTCATTATGTGACTTTCTATTTGTTCAGTGCCACCACAGGAGTATTTACCTTTTTACTTCTAAGATATGTACTGTATTTGAGGTCAGTTGTAAGTTGCTGTGTATGTGTTTTATCACTGCAGTGGCTGGTCTTGGCTTCGGTATAATAAGTGGAGCTTTCTCCATGATCAACATCCTGTCCGACTCGCTGGGCCCCGGCACCGTGGGCATCTTTGGGGACTCTCAGTATTACTTCATTGCATCAGGTTAGCCTTCATGTGCACTCTTTTATTATAACTCTCTTTTGTTTACTTTAAGAAGTAGATTGTATTTAAATTAATCAAAATTACGAAAACCTCTGAAAAGGCTGATATTATATATATATATATATATATAATTAATAATGATCAAAAAGTATCAGTGATGAATTTTTCCCAGTCCATTAGAAATCCTATCTCATGCACTGGTTCTCTCTTCCTCTTTCTTCTGTCTCTCTCGCTCACTCTCTCTTGCTCTCGCTCTATCTTTCTTCTCTTTTTTTATTTATATTAATACTTCTTGTCCATCTCTTTATTTTTTCCTCTTTCTCTCCCTCTTTCTCTCTCTCTTTCTCTTTCTCTCTCTCTCTCTCTCTCTCTCTCTCTCTCTCTCTCTCTCTCTCTCTCTCTCTGTATCTGCTGAGTTATTGGTAGTAAACAGCACTGTTCTTTTTGCTCTGCAGCACTGATGACTCTGGCTACAACTCTGCTACACACCTTCTGGGGCGTGGTGTTCTTTGAGGGCTGTGAGAAGAGCCGCTGGTGGGTCATTGTTGTGGTTGTGTGTCTCCACCTGCTGGTCTCTGGTCTGGTAAGCAACTTAAACTGTCACATGACACTCAAGCTTAATCCCTGTGCTGGTTTGATGAATATTCTCTTATAGACGGCTCAGTAGATGAAGAAAATGTTAACTTCTCTGGCAGGTGCTCCAAAACAAGCTATTAGGAATCTGCCAATTTAATATATATTTTTTTGATTGATCTTTATTGCAATTTTATGATGTAAATAACTTGAGGCAGATTAATGCATTTACACTCTATTTGAATGCTGCTGCTACACCTATACCAAAATGTAGCATATCTATACATGACTTATTGTGCAAAATAGCTCTGTTTGCTATCACTTTTGATGTAGCACTTTATTTGATTCCTGTTATTTAAATAGGCAACTTGTTTTTGTTTTTGTTTAAGTATTTAAAAGTTTGGCTCATTAATATAATGTTTTTATTGTGATTTAGAAGAAGAAGTACTGGAAATGTATTAATGTGTATAATGTGTCCATTTAGCACACACAATGAGGTACACTTCAGTTAAACAAAAGGGTTTATTATGGAAAATAACTGAAATTGCAGAATAAAAAAGTATAAATAGATATACATGCTACAGATGTCTTTTATTTATGTATGTAATTAATTCACATATGTAGTTATGTATGTATTTAGTTATATGTGTAGTTATATATGCAAGTTAGAAATTCTGGCTTCTGTGCCCAAATACTGCACTGTTCGTCCAGTAGCGCGCTATGTAGTGAGATGGGAGCTGTTTGAGATTTTCCCACGCTGGGACGTACAGCACTGTTAGGTTGGTGCTGATGTAAGACTGGAAATCGCATATAACATAATGAATGTTGGTTTTTATCACAGTGGTAATTTGAGTAAGGGGAAAAAAGTTATAAAGCAAAGATTTTGTCATCAAACAGTGATCTATTTTGATATGTTCTTTATTATGTGATAAATTTAAAAAGTTCATGAGATGACTGCAATATATACTGTTGGGTGATTGAATGTTCTTGTCCTCCTTCAGCAGTTCATGGTAGCTTGGCAAAAATAACTAAAAATAACTAAATTTCCTGTTAGTCATTCTTAAATATAATTTATTTATTATTGTTGAAAATTTTGTATTTTATCATGTCAGCTGTTTTATAAAAGCGATAAGCCACTAAATGCAATGATTTTGTCACAAGTGCCAAAAAAAACATTCATTGGTCCGTTTGGCAGTAAACTGCATTGACCATAAAAATTTCAGTCCATGCTTACTTTCTGATACTGTATGACACACTGTTTTCTAAAAAAATGGACAAAAGTATGTCACAAAGATAAAAGCAACCATTGCTTTACAGCTTATTTCACCTGTAGCATAAGCTGTTTATGCTGTTTCTTACTCCTTCTCCTGATAACATCTGAAGGAGTTGCATTTGAGGTCTAATAACTAGCCGTTTTATAGTTTGTTTCGCTGACACAAAGTGGCTTCAAAGCAGTGCAGGAAACTCTTCTGTGACCACTGGAGGGAGGCCCTGCTCAACTATCACACTGCCAGCTTAGGACACTGGGCTTCCCGCATTCTGCGCTGTGTGGTTGCCTACATAATTTGACTAGTGACTAGTTTAAAGCATCTGTCAGTTTGTCTTCTTCTTCTCTTCTAAATAGAGCTACAATACATAATAAACCAGTGGTTTCCTCTCTAGTTTATTTATGAGTGAAGTGGAAAGCAGTTGCTGACAGTGAAGGACATGTTGGTTCAGACCAAGACAGAAGATGTCTGAAGATGTTTCTGACTGAAACATCAGTGTTCAAAAAAGCTGTAAATTTGAATAGAATGAAAATGCGACAGGTCTCTGCAGAACAGGTTTAGACAGCCACCTTTTTTAAATCAGCAGTTTTTATTCAGGACAGTTACTAATTTACACCCAAAGGACTTTTGTATAGACTTTTCTAACGTTCCTATTATATATCCATACTATAGATACCATCAAGTAATAATGATTTGAGGGCCGTCACTATCAATTATATTGTCATTTTTCTAAGATGCCTTTTAAAAAGATTCTTTTAAATAATAATGATTATAAATGGGCTCTAATATAAGAGACACCAGTAGGAGAATCAGTCTAAAATATGCAGGGTCATCATGCAAGTGACTTAATGTTAATCACTGCAGAAAGTTAATTTTTAATGTTTGTTTTTTTGTTTGTTTGTTTTTTTTACATGAAGAAATTATGATGGCCCCAAAAGGTTCAAAAGTTTACACGATCCCGTGCATACTGTTCCACTCCCTAAACAGTCAGGTTGACCTGACCTCCTTTTCCCCTTGCCCCCATCCCAAATGTGCACTTTGTTACTTGGGAAGCAGCAGTAGCAAAAGAAAATGTTCTATGAGGAATGTAAATAAATGCTGCTGATGAGAGAGGAGTGGACAGGATCTGTTGATAAGGAAGGCAGCATGTAGTTACGAGAGGAGGATCTCTGACCTGCCAGAGCTACATGAAGAAATGCCTGGTTATACGTCCCCATTCAGAGTAGAACAACAATGTGCTCCAGTTGCCCAAAGCAGGAACAGAAGGTAGCACTTCCAAAAACAACTAGGCTGCATGTGGGGATGAGTGTCACTTGATTTTGTTTCATTAAAGCTTTTTTTTCCCCCTGTTCATGTGTCAAAGATTATGTACCACTAAAATAATGTTATCAGCAATCAGTGTAACGTTTTATTTGGCTGGTCCAAAATAGATGCTTTGCAGATGCAGATGTCAATGTCAACATCTAACCCTGCAGTTCAGTCAGTCAGTTTAGTTTCAGCAGATATATTAATAATTTGAGCACCTATACATAATAAATATTGAACTATCCAAATAAAGTGGAACTGTAATTTGAAATATGAACCAAGACCTGGGTACTGTAATGAAAATTCTACTGCAAATGTAGATGTGACATTATCTCTTTATCTCTCCCTCTCTGTATCTTTCTCTCTACATTACAGTCTCTGTTAAACCCGCTGTATGAAGGCAGTCTGCCTCCTGTGTATGCTGTCACCGTATTGATGGCTGTGTGGGCATTCTTCTCTTCAGGAGGCTCCCTGCACAACCTGTCACTGCTCTTTACCAGTAAGACCATCACCCTGTATTCAGTTTTTCATCTTTATAGCACCAGTTTATTTTGTGTTTACAGTCCAAATTTCAAGCAAATACATGATTGCGTAATTTATTGAAGGACTGAAGGACATTTTTCTCATCATTGTGCTACAAATGTCATAAGGCAAGGTGTCTCTGCATTATTGGATAAAGTAGTTTTACATAACCTAGTCAAAAGAATCAAGTCTTTCTCCAGTGAGCTGTATTGCTCCTCAGGTTGCACATTCCGACGAGTTAAGTGTTGTGAAAGGTTAGCATAGATCTTGTAGGTTGGCCAGTTGCCTCATTCTGTCTTTTTCTTTAATTAATTTTACCATTAGATATTGTTGTATTGAGCAAGGAAACATTCAACATTTGCAGCGATTTTAAGTTTAAAATTAGCTAAAATTGTCACTACCAAAACATTTGGTAAGGTTTCAGAAGTATTATGATTAATTTGTTAATGATAAGGTTAAGTATTTATTCATTTGTTTTAAGAAAATAAACAAAATTAAGGTATAGGGTCAATCAAAGCAAAAGAATTTCAGTGTAAAGTCAGAGTCTGTTAAAAGCCTGAGATGGGTTTCGAACTTAATATTTGAACCAATTAAGAATGTATGATGCACTTTTTGGTATCCATCTAATGAACTGCTTAATGTTATCTGTAGAACTAGATCACATATTAGAAGCAGTTGCATTGTATGTTCTTTACTGGTCATACTAACATTGAGGCATTCCCCTACCACCACTATGTTTATTTTTACCATGCAAGGGCTGTGAAATACTCTCTCTGTCTCTGTTTTGACGCCGTTCATCATGTAGTGTTGTAACATACCCTGTTTTCGGTCCACCCTTGAGGCACACTGACCTCTAGTTTTTTGTTGGCAAAGGTTTGTATTTTACAGGCCAGCATATTGCTCCATGACCATAATGACTTTCAGTGTTCCATTCTCTCTCTGCCTGCAGGTAAGAGAAGCGAGGTGGAGTCCTCGTAAGGCCATCAAGTCCTGGCTTCTCAGTGAGAGTGAGATGCAGGCAGTTTATTGAAAGGCTGCATTTGCTGTGTGGAGCGTCTAAAGCAGCGAGCAGAAGAACAAACACAGCAGCCGTCTCCACTGCAGACGGCCTGGGGTTCAACTCAGACCCCCAACAACATGACTGCCCTCACTTCAGCCTAACAGGTTATAGGACTCTCACGTCATGCTCATTGTAAAACGCTGTAAATAGCTTGGATACTATAACACACAAAAAAAACCACATTTTTAATGAGTGAGCAGAGTGTCTATCTCTTGCTTTGCTTCAGCTTCTCAGTCATTTCAAAGTAGTATTTAAAAGTGTTCTTTTGCTACATCACAAATCACCTTTTAAAATTGTTTTTCTTTATTGAAAATGTAATGTAAATATTGAACTAAGCCTTAGCAAGGCACTTTTAATGGGAGGTTGTGGGATGTCCTGGGGTCAGACTGGTCCTGCTTTACAGTCTGGAGTTCACACTTAATTCATAATTAAAGTGGACCTAATTATTTTTGAGTGCAGCCAGGTGAACCAGCTCCATTTAGCAATGACCGATGCAATTTTGTAGCCTTTATGCATTGAAACTGCCAATGACTGTGTAACCAATGGGTCTCCTGGCCAGTCTAAAACCTGTTTGTTAAAACTGAAGAATGATTGGTCCGTTATTAACTAGTGATTCACTGAAATGAAAATTCTTGGCTGAAACTGAAATTCAGGACACGCTCGACCGACAACAGGTATTATTGTTTGTTTTTTTTGTTTTTTTTTTTAATTGGCATTAGCATAGTAATGCCTTTGAATGTACAGAATGAACATAGAAATACTACAAGGTAAGGAAGAAAAAACACTTTTTTATTGGTAAAAACTGAACCTCTCAGTAGGACAAAACTAACAACGAACAAAAAGCGATTAACAAACTTCATAAAATTAGCCTGTTGCATTATGTATAGTGTGCCTAGTAAATCCAGTGTCCTCAGTAGCAACAAAGAGTTGGTCATACAAGGCAGTATAATTCCATTATTTTTGTAGATTTATTTTACAGTTTGGCTCTGTCGTTTGTTTTTTTTTTTCATCATTTCCAAATCTGTGTTTATGAATGGTGTTGGCATGGTAGAAGGGTGCTGTATTTTGCAAATCGAACAGGATGTCTCATTTTTAAGTGGTATCAAACCTATAGTGAAGAGGATTTTGAGTGCTGTATCCCCTATTGATACTTGGCACAAACAATGATGTCAGATCACTTGTTTAATGTCCCTCGTAGTAACTGTGACAGATCCACAAGGCTGACATTTTTACTGTTGATCTGCTGCTGCTCAAACTGTTTGAATGTGTATGCACTGACCGGCATAGGAAAGCAAAGAAAACAAACAGCAGTTTTAATCACTATTCCTCATTCTCACTAACATGCAAGTGATTTGTTATGTGTTCGATTTGGATACTTCTTTGTAGAACTATTTAATATTTTGGGGGGGGTTTTCCGGCCAAAAGTGGTTAAAAGTGGCATTTTCAGCCTCTGTGGCTGAAATATTGGTGCATCCCTGTTATTAACAAAACCAGACTGTAAGGTAGGAGCAAAGTGACTGGACCAATTCAGTGTGACCCCAGCAGTGCCGAGACACTTCAGCTGCTAAAATGTCCCCTTAGTAACATACCACACATCACATTGAATGAGCGGTTCATTAAGTACCATTTTACACATTTAGTGGCCATTTAATGCAATGAGTCCTTTGAGCAGAGAGCTTAATGCATTTTCTCATCAAACATCAGACCACATGGTCAGCAGTTCTGCTGAGTCATATTGTGGGACAAGCATACACATTGTGAATGTTCAAAATTTGTTCTGTCCTCAAAGACAGTCCACTGGCAAAGATGTTGAATCATCTAAGTGTATATATGTATTATTCAGAATTAGCTTTTTTATGTAATTTTCTTTCATCCCTCTCCTGATTCCCTCAAAGGCATTTTATGTCTAGTTAACTGGCAGTGGCTGTCACTTTCATATACAAACCTTGTAAGTCTTTTCTAATTTTGCAATTTGGTAATGCCAGCTGTGAATTGTCTGAACATTTCATGACAAAGGGACCCATAGAAACTACAGAATTACCATCTTTATTGGTCAATTTGTCATCCATAAAATCTTTCCTTCTCCTTTAAAGCGACCGTTTCAGAAATACAAGGTTTTCTTATTACTGTGGCAATATGTTCTTCAGTTTGGATAATCGGTCAGTACAATAGCGGAGTACAGCTCCTCTCTAATGTAGCAGCTACCCAAATCTTCTTTTGATGCTGTTCCCCATTTCTACAATAACAGACTGTTGAGGGCTCCGTTTTCAAGATCAAACTGTTTTTTATTCACTTTTATCTTGCGTGATTTGGGTGCAAACATTGTTGTAGACAACAAGCAATATCTAGATATCATGGCTCTTTCTAGTGATATCTGTTTGGTCCTACTGCTTCAAACACTGGTGCTGGCCCGTATCATTTCAGGAAAGACATTCTTTCGTTGTGTTTTCATTGCTGTGAAAGCTCAGTCATGTGTGGAGCAGTGCTTTTTGCAGCCGTCTGATTATTTGACCAACATGATGCTGCTTTGCTCTCTTCGTGATATCATTTGTTCAAAGCTGTTTAACTTTCCACTGATTTGGGTCACCGTGCAAAAAACGTTGCGCTGCTGCATAGCATATGTCCAGTATACAGAGGTGGGCAGAGTAACCTAAACACATACTCGAGTTAATGTCACTTTGGAGAAATAATGACTTAAATAAATAGAAAAGTAAAAATAAAGGCATCTTTACAAGAAAACAGGTTGAGTAAATGTACAGGTAAAATATCAGGTCAAAAAATGACAAATACTGAGTACCTTAAAGAACTGCAGTTAATCTAGCATCTGTCAGCATAGGACTTGGTTTGATAAGAGCTGTTACCTCACTATTTGACACACTCTTGATCAAAAATGAAGTGTGACCAAAGGCAAAGCGGTACAGGTGCTGTCATCAGATTGAAATTAAAAAAAAAAAGAACAATCACTAAATTGGAATAAAATGTACCTGAGTAAAAAGTACACATACAAGTACCAATCAGTCACAATTTTACTTGAGTTACTCCCCACTTCTGCCAGTGTGGTTGTGCTCCAAATCTCTCTGTTAAAATTCCATCATTAAAGTTCTTTTCATGGCACATTTATTACAAAGCTGAAATTGTCTCCTTGTTCGCCAGCTTCTTATTTCAATTTTTTGGTTCCACCTTGAATAGTTGGAGATGAATATAGTTGTTGATCATTTCCTCAAGTCCAGAATTGCTCTTGTGCTAGAGGTTATATCCTATAGGTTTCAGGGTTTACTATAGGATACGGCAATAAATGCTGTCTACATGCATCATAACATGCCTGGAGGGAAGAACTCGCCTTCACAAAGAGGTCGGAATGCCTTTTGCTTTAGTTGTAAATATTTATCCCAAGGCTGTGCTTTTTTGACCCAAAAGGCTATTAATCATTATATATGCAGTACTGTGCAAACGTTTTAAGCACCTGAGAAAATTGTTTGAGGAGCTCAATGTGTCTAATATTTCCAAACCTCTTCTGACAGCAGCCCAGTATTACTTGAATGACACTTGAACTCTGCTACAAAGACCTGGACATAACAAGGCCATAACCATGCCATGCCAGATGTCATGTTGTCATGAGCTGCAATCACAGATTATGTCCAATAATGTAACCGTGTCATGTAACCCTTACAGTTAATTGTGACTGATTTGCAGTAATATTTGATGTCATAATTGCTAACTAGAATACACTTAGCATGTGACGTAAGCAGTCGTGACATTATGGCATTATAGCTCGAAATATATCAACTACTTTAATAAAAAAAAAAAAATTAAAAAAAAGAAAAAAGTTACTTTTTACTTAGGCACCAAATGTATTTGCTGCACCATTTAAGGTGGAACAGAAAGTTTGAATGATAAGCTGGTGAATAAGAGGATGGCTTCAGCCTCATTCATTTATTAGGGTACTTCGAGTCTGACACTGGTGATTAGTTACACCAGTCTTGTTTTAGCACAGCTGTGATGTATGTGGCTAACCACTGAGGTACAACATCATACAACCATACAGTCTTTGTCTCAGGACACACTGTGTGATTAATAACGAACAACCTGATGTTCCAGACTAGTCCAAGGCAGCTCCCTTTAGAGGCATGGCTGGACGTTTCTTTGTTATAGCTCTAATTAGAACATATCTTCTCCTTGGACATTGCACTGCCCTTAATAAACAGTCACATTCAGTATGCACCAAGTTCTGGAGAAGGATGTTGTGTTGTATTTCATTTTATTCCCTGCGTCTGTATCTATCTACTTATTTCAGTGCTACAGTAGACATGTTTGACCCTTTGTACCTCTGAGTTCTTAACAGCTCATGCTGTTTTATGAGCAGTCTGCTGATGGAGATTTAGATAGCCGTGTTGTAGTGCAGCTGCCTAATGGACTGTCTCCTATCCGGCACAGCCTCCTCCATACTCCTGCATCATTACACCCGGTGCTCACCTGGATTTCGGACATACAAATGACAAACAGTGACTATGTAATGTTTTGATGCTGCTTTATAACATTTTAAAGAATATAATGTGCCAAACAGGGAAACATGTCATGACTCTCCATGTCACTGAGATGCTTTTAATTTGGGTTGTAATAAAACATGCCCTGTATTGATGATTTAAAAATGTCCCAATGCATTTGAATGAGTGACAGTGTTGGTGGTGATTCTCATAAATAGTCCACATCATAAAACTGTATGGGTTCAGAGTTCAGTTGATCACAGTGCTGGTGCAGTCCTCACATAAGCACTTGGTACTTGAGATCCCATTTATAAAAATTCACTTAGTGTATATCACACTTTTGAGTAAGGGTGTAATGATAGCCTGGTTAGATACTGTGGTTCTGTACCAGTAAAAATAATTAAGTTATAATTACAAATTATTAAAAACTATAATTATATGTAATATTTAATTTAAAAAAAAGTAATCAGTGTCATGATGTAACCAAATGTCTTCTGCAACAGTTTAGACGCCACTGATCAAATTACATGTTTTTGTTGTTTTCTACGTAAAAGTAAGTAAAACATCCTCTACAGAGAACTCACTTCTGCACATTTTAATGCACAATTACTGTTTATTTACTGAATTTAACATTTTAAGAAAACATAAAGTGTGGCCTATGCAAATGTTATGGTACATTTTATGTTTGTTTTTTTCCTGTATATCAAACTCAGCAAGTAAACAGAAGTTATGTGCTAAAATTTGCAGAATTTGCAATGAAGGGAGCTGATTATACCCTGGAGACCAGAATCAATCCTGTCCTACAGGTTACAGCATTTTATGCTTTTTACATGCTACATAACTTAAGGTTGGAATTCCTCGTAATTCACATAGAAGTTAAAGTGCCTTTAGGTTTTTCCAATGGATATATTTGTCAGAATGGAGTGCTTTTTTGACCCAAATGACTTCGAATCATATACACATATAACATATTACTGTACCATTAGCAATAACAGTTAGTGTTGCTCTAAAATACAACATGTATAGTAAAGCACTTCTACCTTGTATCTACGCTTATTGTCTGTTTAATCAGCTGCACTTTTCACATAAATGCACTTTGTAGTTCTACAATTACAGATTGTAGTCCTGCATAATTTGTTAACCACTTTTGCCCCATTCATCATTGGTCAGGACCACCATAGAGCAGGTATTATTTGGGTGGTGGATAATTCACTGTCCACTGTATTAAACACATCTATTTTGCTGGTCCTAGATGTAAAGACAGACAGTAGGTCATCTGTTGCTGCACAGTTTGTGTTGGTCATCCTCTAGTCCAGGGGTGTCCAATCTTATCCACAAAGGGCCAGTGTGGCTGCAGGTTTTCATTCCAGCAAAGCAGAAGATCACCTGATCAGCAGTTTGAAGACTGAGACCAGCTGATTAAACAAGTGGAAACACGTGTACTCCAGCTTGTTTTGAGTGAAAACCTGCAGCCACATTGGCTCTTTGTGGATAAGACACTCCTGCTCTAGTCCTTCATCAGTGGTCACAGAATGCTGTTGGCTGGAAACTTTTGGTTGGTGGACTATTCTCAGTCCAG